TAAATATCATCATTCTATCGTATAAAATAGATTCATTCCTTCTTTCTTTCTTTTTTTTTTGATTTTCTATTATCGAATAACTTTACATTTTAAACACTTTTGTTTTCTTTATTTTTTTTTAATCATTTCTCTATTCCCATATCTTGTTCTGCTTGTTTTCTCTTTTATATTCTTCTTTTATAATTTTCTTTTTTTTTTAAAAACTAATCAGAGAGAGGGAGAAAAAAATTATTCTCATATTTATCTCTGTTCATTTTAGTTTGATTTTGGTAAATGGTTTTTTCTCTTATTTTCTTTTTTCTTTTTTTCTTTTTTTTGTGTGTGTGTGTGGAGAAATACGCATCAATAAGGGATATTGTTCTTTGTTTTGTTTTTGCTTTCTTTCTTTCTTTCTTTCTTTGGTTTGCTTCTTCTTTTTATCATGATTGTATTCACACAAAACTAATTCTTTATCAGTTAAGAATGTTTATCAAAAGATAAATGTATATGTAGCCCTTTAGAATGCTGACCGATTCAAATGTACAAACAATGTACCATTTAGTCACTAAGACTAAGTCCATGATACATAAATCTTTTTGTTTTAATCCCATTTAGTTTTGTAGGATTAAGTTAAAAGAAACAATACTAATACTAATCTATAATATTGTGTATAAAATTATAAAGATTTTGTTATAACATAGAAAGACATACAATTTAGATTAAGTTGTATCAATAGTGATGAGAAATCCTTATGTCAGAAGGGGTAATGAATGGTAAATGTTAAGAAAGATTTATATTTGTACTATACATTATTACTTGTTTTTGTTACCAAGTTTAAATAATGAATCCAAAAAAAAAGGAGAGTATAGTCGGTTTTGAGAATGATGTTTCATTGATTTTTTTTTGTAGTTTCATTCAACTAAACATAAATTAACCTTGAAAATGTTTTATGTAAAGATGGATAATGGTTAGTAGTGGGATTCAGGAGGCGAGTTTCATCCTATTTGGAACTTGTCAGCTGGATGTATCTAAATCTTAGAGTTGATGTTTACTTTAGAACTCGAACACAGTGCTGTTCACTTCAAACACCATCGTGTTATCTACTTATCTGTTGTTTTATGTTTGTTCCTTTTTTATTTCTAGAGGTCAGTAAGTTTTTTTTCTAGAAAGATGGATGTTATTTTCATGAGTCGATCTCTGTTTCATTATTTAGTGTTATATTTTAGCTTCCCTAGCTATCCATGAACCAGCTATGGAATGATTTCAGTAATTTCAGATCATGTGTTAAATCGTCACGGCTACATTATCAAGACACTAAGTTAAGATTGAACAAGTTCACATCTCCTGCTACAGTCCACTTGAGATATTCTTTGATAGAACATATAATATGTGATTAAAGATTTAGATAAGATAATCATAACGACACTATGAACGTGGGTTGGATGACAAAGACTAGATTCATGGGAGCTGCTGTTATACTACGGCTATGAAGAAGAAAATGCTTCACATACGCAAGTAGTTTCAGTGATGATTAGCAGTTTCATAGCTTTAATGAACTTACAAGCAGACATAATATACTAGTCATTGTGACGAAAACTGACCAATTTATTTGATTTATAATCGTAAATTCACATTTCCTATTTCTAAGTATAATAATTATTACCTTTCATAAGTATTAAAGTGAGATGAAAAGATTAATTTTAGGAATATGGTGTATCTGTCCATGGCATTTTAAGAAATCTGGTCATACATACTACTTATCAAGGCATTTACATATGAATAAAATATTTAAATGATCTTTATAAGTTCTCATATATGAATGGGTTGGTATGTTAAGTAGAAATGGTGTTTTATTTTTGGAAAGAAAAGAGAGGTAAAATGATCTAATTTGGAAATATAAGAAGTTTTTACTTGAATCTCCCTATTAATATTCAGGACTGCAATTGATCAGTCTCTTATTAGCATATTTTATTTATTTATTTGGACACATAAATATTGGTACAAGAGAGCGCCAATATATATGCGCCAGACAAAACAATGAAAATTCGAGAGGAATACAAGGAAAGAAAAAAAAGCTAAGGAGCGCAAAAAAAAGAGAGAACAATAACGAAGAGATTGGTGTAAGGTAATGTGCTAGTAATCAGGGAACGCAAAGGTACAATCGGAAGAAATCTTTCAGGTAAGGTAGACACAACCACTTTTTATGAAGAAAGTAAAAGAGGGTTACAGCAGGATCGCCACTGGCTTCTATTCTGAGCCATATCTGATAACGTCTCTAACCACTGTGTAGCACCATCTCCCAGACCCCAACCAGGGAGTCATGAAGGACCAACACAAGCCAGTCCTTTGCAGCTTTCTTTCATGCCACGACACCATGTCATGCACTGACCACCTCTCCGCTTCTTCCAACCAGTCCCAGAGTCGGCAAATAATGCACGTCGTGGAATTCTCTAGGACGACATTCGTAGAACATGTCCAAGCCACCGAAGTCGGTGTTTCAAGATGGTAATACCAGTTGAATTATCATCTCTGTGCCCGAACACACGATGCTGAGCCTCTGCATTACTGACATGGTGTTGCCACTGAATGTCAGCAATCCTTCGGAGACAGCGATGATCAAACACAGAGAGTCGTCTAACGTCCTCAACTCGGAGAGGCCAGGTTTCACAAGCATAGAGCAAAACTGCTCTAACCGACGCGTTGTAGATCCGACCTTTTACAGCCAGACTAACATCACGAATGCGCCAAAGGTGGCCCAGATTGGCATAAGCCACTCTGGCTTTCACTGTACGTGCATTCATTTCATCACTCACACCCCCATAGCATATGTGCACATTGTTTCGATACTGCCTTAATTTACAAGCGTTTGAAGAGAACAGTACTGAGTTCGAGTCCCAGAATGAATATCAACTCTGAGATGCAGGTACATACAGCTGACCAGTCCCAAATAGGATGATGTTTTATCCGAGCGAAGATTAAATCACGAGTAACTTCTGAGACATATTAATTGGCTAATATTATCTATATATTCTTATGGTATAACTATCAGATTATGTATATTTATATTCCTCTTATTATAAGCTTTATTTCGATCTATAATTTATAATTGCACGATTTACTGTTCTTAAACTATGCTCAGTTTATTGACTACTGCCTCCCACATTCACAGCCACTTCTTGGCTTTATTGTGTATGAATGTTATTTCTTATTTTATGGTGCGTTGCAGTCAGTTTGATTGATATATAAACCCAGTATGTCTGAAATAAATGATTCGATTCGATTTGCATATTGGAAGCTGGTGTTGGTGTTCTGGACTAAAGTGGACGGGCTGGACGGACATAAGACCAATAAGGACGCTAGGCTGCTTATACCGGTTGAAAGTCATTTGGTTAGGCACAGTGGTAAGATTGTATAAGTCGTATTTTGATTGGCGAATAGAGTACGTGATAACAAGCGGCTCATAAAGTCATAACAGACGAAACGAGCGGCCTGGATTCCACTACTAGCCACTATCCATCATTGCTTATATAAGGTTTTGTTTTTGCCGCTATAAGCTTTAAAATAGATTCAAGATTAGAAATCTTTTCATAAATGTTCAGCTCAAATAAATCACATTTTCATATCTATTCTATCTTCTCATCATAATGCCGACAATTATATGTCTTTTTTTGGTTAATCCAGATTATTAGTATAGGGATTTGTGGTATTTTCACAGTTGAAATCACGAATTAATCTAAACTAGAGCACCCTTGTCAAGCTGATAGCACTAAACGATCGTTTCGTCCTAGTATGGGACTTCTCAGTAACGCATATTCCTAATTCCACACACTACAATGGAACCCAGAACCTTCATTCTCGTGCCCAAACCCTTAACCCCTAGACCACTGGGATGGCATCCAGTCAATCCATGAACTTGCCTGAGGTTGATAGTTGTCTCAAACTCTAGATTAGACTTCATTGATCGTGACTTTTCACTAGAACTCCAGGAGTTACATCTTGAAACTAATCACCAGTGAGCACATAACTGTCATCAGTAAGGAGGATTTTTAAACACCAAAGAATTTCCAAAGTCGAAATTTATTCTAATTTAATCATTTATTTAATGTGGTAACTTTGTAAATCCGAATGAAAATCTGTTGAAATGAATGTTCTATGTACTCGACTAACTTTGTATGTTAATATAATGTGAATTTTTGAAAATCGACGTAATTAATTTGTAAGTTAAATCACTAAAACCCAGAAACATTGAAAAGGTGTTTCGTCCCAGCATGGTATATCTCATCAGAACGGAACACAGAATCTCACTAAGTTATGAATATGCATCACTAGAGTCTCATATCAGTATAAAACAGATGTTCATCGCTTCCTGTTTTTAATAGTTGCCTAAAGTTGATCCACGATATAAACCATAAAATTCATTAAACTTTTTTAATCAATAACAATAACATAATTAGGCGAGACTAACTCCGCCTGTAGCTCGTCCAGAGTTACTGCCGGTCTCAAGCTCGGGTAAAGGAGGAGGGTTACGAATGGGGTTAGCGACCCCATCACGTGGAAAACTAACCCGCTAAAAAACGCCAACCAGAAATCTGGTAAGACTATAATTTATGGATGAACCAATCAGGTATAAGATAACAGGTCTCAGATTTTGTCGCGAAATTCATTCATCCATTTGGATACATGGAGTTTTGGTATTATAATTTTAATTCCACACACAAGTTTATAACCCTCATTTAGTCCTAGTTATTAGGTGGACACTGTCAAGGTTATTTCAGTGTCACTCAAATGGTCGTCCATAACTTATAGTCTCATTGCATAATTAATATCAGAAAGAGCTTTTTTTGGTTCGCAAGGCAGGATAGTGGATGCGCGCCGCTAAAGAGTCCCGACGGTAGGACGAAACAGCCATCCAATGCTTCCAAGTTTTCCATTATGGTCTAGCATCAATTAACTCATAATCTCAACGATTAAAATGAACATAATAATGAATCAATAATCGTCTTCATTTTTTTAAATCTTACCTTTTAAAATAAACTTTTCCTTGGCTAATCCTAATGCATTTTCAGCATAACACCAATATTCACCGGTATCAATTAGAATTAAATTGTTTATTTCCAATATAGATTCCACATATCCTGGTGAACGTCTATTATGATTTTTGTTTGTTTGTTTGTTTTTCAATAACGATCAAAATAAAATGTGATTTAAACAATAATTGAAATTAGTTACCAGGGTGCAATTTATTAATTTATGTAAACTAAATGTTTCATATAGGAAAGCGATATATATATACTACTTAATAGATTGATATTTAAGCTAACACACTTAGACACACATATATACAGAGAATAAAATCGAATGTTGTATGTATTTTGAGAAGGGGAAAATTCTTCTCTATTCAACTCTAATTGGTTTATATTGGAATAGTGTTGAACAATTAATGAGGAAACAACAATAAAAACAAACTAATCTCTTATGTATGTATCTTATAGAGATATATAGGACAAAAGGAAGAGGTTAGGATTGAGTAATAGTAGTATATTCTATAAGAAATATATTTTATTAAATACAAATAGATAAAGGGAAGGGTAAAAGATTACAGATTTTTAATTGGTAACAAAGTTACTTTATAGTTCAATTTAAAATATACATAATTGATTGTTGATATAGATGATAATACAATAAGTAATCAGTTGACAGTGGAGATAAATGTTCCAATTACGTGTATGAAATATACGGTTGATATATATACTACTTACTTACAAGTCATAAGTAGGTTTCTCAAAGGAAAAAAAAACATACTATCGATATATTTCAGTTAACCTAGAGTAAACGATAACTTCTAAAAAGGGGAGAAAGAGTATAAACAATCGTTTATCCGCCTAGATTATGATCAGTATTGATGAAGTTGTATTTAATAGTGATTAAATTAAAAGTTGAATTTTATGAGCATAGTTATTCATTCTATTGATTTGTATGTTAAAATTATTGGAAATACTGGGGAAGATTGATAGGTCCTGGGTTCGAATCTTGTGGGGTGTAATCGTGGATGAGCACTGCTGAGAAGTCCCAAAATTGAACGAAACAACCATCCAGTGATTCTAGGTTTTTCATGATGGTCTAGCTTCAAATGACTCATGATCTCAATTATTAAAATCAATTAAATGTTTGTCGATATAAGTTTGGTAATCTATGCAAATTTGCCTTTTAATTGGCCTTTCATTTCATGATCGAAGAGATCTGAATCAAGAAGTCATTTACATATGAATTAAATTTGCATCACGTTTAAATTCATTTGATGTTGTTTTACTTGTATCTTCCCATTGTTAATTAGGACTGTAATTGATCAGTCTCTTATATTGGCATATATCAAATCTGGAATGCAGATATATCCAGCTGACGAGTCCCAAATAGGACGAAACGTATGCCCTGTATTCCACTGCTAGCCATTATCCATCTTTGCTTAAAAAAGATTGTATCACGTTTGTTTTAGATATTGAACCTTCTCTAAATAAATGTTTCTATGTGCAGGGAGTCTTCTTTTAAGAAATTTAAAGCAATTATTCTCTTTGATAAATTTCATTAATGTAATAAGAAGACGAAGATTATCAGAATTATGTAGTTCTGAGACGTTACCACTGAGCTTTCCGAGCCGCGACCGACCTCCTGCAGGACTGAGATGTAATCGCGATTGATTGATTACTGGGTGAAGATCAATGTCATGTGTGTCAAGTCCTTATTTAGTGCAGATCGAATGCTATCGACCATGTTGCAATGTGGCCACCAGTCTGGGTGACTCGACACTGCGTGCACTATATATTGAGATTAGATGGTGGTTGGAGGTAGTCGACAGGAAACCCTGGACATTATCGAAATGCTTTTATGTTCTTATATACAATAATGAAAGGCCATATAGTAACACAGATGGACACCCTATTTATGTATGTCTTCATGAACACCAACACACTAAGACGTACCTATATAGAACCATGTAGATAATTATTGACTGGGAAAATATTGTAATATTAGATAGAAGGAAATATAAAGTAGACCATAGGATTTTTAAAAATCTTAACACTGAGTTCAATCAATCTAACATTTGTGAACAAATTAAAGAAACTATAAACAATTATAAAGTCTTAATGGTAGATAATCAAAATAAACATTAAGAGAATGATAGGACAAAGGTCAGTAATGATAAAAACAAGATCAAATTCGACAAAACAAATTGTTAGTCATGTATGAAGAGACAGCTTTCTGGAAAAAATCTGGATATCAGTTTCAATTTCGACATGGTACACATTTCAGAAACATTTCACTTATGCATGTGCTACATGGAAAGAATCATCAATGAACAAGGAGAATCTGATGCAAACGTATAGAAAAGGGTTGGAAAAGTAAGGTCAACATCCCTACAATTAAAGAACATATGGGACTTAAAATAACTCTCAGTTAAAATCAAAGTTAGAATATTCAATTCCAACGTCAAGACAGTGGGTTTCACTGTACGAAGATGAAACTTGTAGAACTATCACAACTATCATCAAAAGTGTACAAGTATTTCAAACAATTGTCCAAGCAAGGTGCTCAATGTCCGTTGATCGAATCCCATTAGCGACAACTCAATTTGGGAAAGAACCAACGAACTTCCATTTGAATAGGAAATTGGAAAAAGACACTAGAAGCGGACAGGACGTACGTTACGGAAATGATCAAACTTCATTAAAAGATAAACTCTAACTTGGAATCTTAAAGTGAAACGAAAAAGAGGAAGGTCATAGAACACAGTGCATCGAGAATTGGAAGCATATATATAAAGAATGAATACCAACTGGAAAGAACTAGCAAGGATTACCCAGTACATAGTTGAATGGAGAATACTGGTAAGCGACCTATGCTTTTTCCATGAAGTGTAACAGTCGTAAGTAAAATAAGGTGAGTAGGTTCGTTTCTTCTTTTAAGATGAGTTAAATACTTTACTTTAGTTATTTTGCGTGCTCCTCCATGAAGGGTAACAAACGTAAGATACATAATGTGCTTTATACAAAACTTAAATAGTTTTTCTAATCACTCCAATAATGTATTTCAGTGCTAGCCATTAACTTTATTCTAATTATGGATATTATGAAACAGTTTTATCAATCGAACTCAAAATGTAATATACAACTTACTCAAATGTTTCAACTGTTAAACCTTTATCAGCTAGATTAATTGATTTCCCATCTCTTATCCACATAATAGTTGGTGTTGGTATACCAGTTGCTATACAGTTAGTTATTAATGATTGACCATATTCTAACACTTGATTAGGAATAGATTCAATTGTAGGTTTTACTGGGATAAAAATAAAGTAGAATTTTGATTTAAAATAAAATTAAAAATAATAAATATTCAATGAATTAGTGGCAATTTAAATTGTATTCAGTGGCAAATAGTTTCGAAGGCCCCAACCCGGTTTTTATATATATAATAGAACCAAGCTATTATTTGCTTCTATGTCTTGTTCTTCTAACATATGGAACTCAAAACAACTGTCAACCAATATCAAAGTGAGGATCTTTAATACCAACATCAAGGCAGTTCTACTGTATGGAGCTGAAACTTGGAGAACTACAACAACCACCATCAAGAAGGTACTAGTATTTATATATAGCTGTCTACGCAAGATACTCAACATCCATTGGACGGATACCATCAGCAACAACATTCTCTGAGGGAGAACAAACCAGCTTCCAGCTGAAGAAGATATTAGGAAAAGACGATAGAAATGGATAGGATATACATTACGCAAATCATCAAACTACATCACGAGGCAAGCCCTAACTTGGAATTATGAAGGGAGGTGGAAACGTGGAAGGCCAAAGAACACGTTACGTTGGGAAATAGAAGCAGATATGAAAAGGATGAATAACAACTGGAAGGAATTGGAAAGGATTGCTCAGGACAGGGTTGGATGGAGGATTCTGGTGAGCGGCCTGTGCTCCTTCACGAGAATTAACAGTCGTAAGTAAGTAAGTAAGTAATGTCTTGTTCTTCTAAGTATGAAGAATGTTCTAAATGACTCGTACTATTTCGTACATAACCCATAAATCAACATCGGATTCTTTTGAATCAATTAATCATTGATCTTTGTTGAAAATCATTTCATTAGAACTTAAAGATGGATTCAGTAAGCAGATAATTTATTTGTTCACTTTTATAATTCTAATAAGTTTACTAAACAATTTCTTTTTTTAATGTATTAGGTTCTAGTCCGAAAAGAAACATCAACTCCGAAATGCAGATACATTAAACTGACGAGTCCTAATTAGGATAAGACGTAAATCCTAGATTCCATTGCTGGCCTGTTATCCATCTTTACTTAGAATATCTTATCTATTTAGAATTCAATTACATTTATTACTTTATTACAAACTTTGCTTGGAGCCCCTCTAGGGCTACTGCAGGTTCCAAGCCCAGATAAAGTTGAAGAGTTGAGCATGGGGTTAGCGACCTCATTCTGTAGAAACTAAACCGTGAAAAAGAAAACTCAAACCTTATTATAACTTTCATTTTCATTGATGAGTTGATTAAAACATTGTACAAGAATTTTTTTTAATGAACTATACAATAGAAAGTTTTCTTTTTTTCTATTCTCTATTGAATCATTCAACTGACAATTTTTATAGAAATATGACAAGTTCAAACTTGTACCTTTTTATGTACCTTTATATGATTGTTTAAACTAAGCTAATCATTTCATCAATAATAATGAACCAATCGATCATGTAAATGTTATGCTTAAATTCTTAAAAATTAATAATGTACATATATGTGTATAGTGTTAGTAAAAATGATGGACTGTGAACTATGTGGGGGTTGTTTTGGTAAACAAAACAAAACAACAACAAAGAAAGAACATTTTCACAGATTGAAATTATGAGTCAGTTGAAGCTAGACCACCATTGAAAACCTGGAAGCACTGGACGGCCGTTTCGTCCTAGTGTGGGACTCCTCAGCAGTCATGAACTCATAAGTAGATAACAATCATTGAAATATTATAGGCAAAGATGGATAGTGGTTAGCAGTGGAATGGAGGATAGGAGTTTCTTACTATTTAGGACTCATCAGCTGGACGTACTTGCATCTCAGAGTTGATATTCACTCCCGAACTTGAACCCAATACCATTCACTTTAAACACCATCGCGTTATCGACTTAGCGACTGAGTGCTGATAGACAATTGCAGTCATGAATATCAATGAGAAGATTCAAATAAACAATACAAAGTGAATTTCAACTTCACTCATCACACAAGCAAATGGCTATCAGGACTCAGTAGCTAATTAAATCACTTGATAGTGTTTTAAGCGAATGGTACTGAGTTCGAGTCCCAGGGTGAACATCAACTCTGAGATGCCGGTACATCCAGCTGACGTGTTCCATTTCACTCCCAGCCACTATCCACCTTTTCCTATAATCCTTGTTAATTAAAGCAACATCGAGTCAATACACACAATATGCACATATATCAATAAGATACTGGTCAATGACACTGTACAAACATGAATGATAAGATTCAAGTAAACAACAACACCGAGTGAATCACTGAAGTGTTTTATTGTTAATTGAAATTGTTTTTTTTTTTTGAAAAATCATTCAAAATGTGTTCTTTGTTGTTGAGATATCTGTTTATGGAATTTCGCTTAGCAACAATAAAAAAGAGAAAAAAAGGAGAAGAAATATTTTGTTAACAAAAAAAACACATAATAAACTTATGACAATGTTTGTTTTAATGAACATAGTTTATAACGTAAGTTGTATTTGTTCTATTATTGATCTTAGTTAAAGTGCCAAACACTTATTTAGTCATAATATGTGAATTTTTAGTAGTGTGTAACTAGATCTTCACTAAGAATTGAATCTAGAACATTTAAGCTATTAAAAGCAACTCATCCCCGCAAAACTCTTTTAACTAGACAATTTACTACTTATTTACTTTAAAGAGATGAAACATAGTTGGAAAATGAGTTTAGAATGAGCGTTTTTCCTATTTGAGACTCATAGATCAAATGTATCTCTATCTTTGAGTTAATATTCACTATGAGGTCCGAATCCGATAACTTTCTCTTCAATCTACAACGTACTATTCACTCAGACAATCCGTTCAGATAACTACTCACTTATGTAACAGATGTGTATTCTAATTTTGTTAACGTTGATGCTTGAATATCAATTCAGAAACACAGATACATCCAGATGACTGGTTTCAAAAGGGACGAAATGCTCAGTCTAGATGGTACATATGTACATCTATTTAACTTTCCGTTCCCGATGTTCAACAAAATTGTAGTATCTAGCAGTTTTAATACTGTTCCCATTCATTTATTGGGTCAATGCTTTACATTAGAGTGTAATTATGTACTGAAGACTTCATTTTAATAATCTAAAGTCATATCCATATGTCTCTTGTGAACATGACATTGTAGTTCCTTCTTACAATGTCTAATGGGGAAAAAAACAAATTATGTGAAAGTCAGAAATTGAAATAAAATAATCAACGTTCATGAATGAAAAGAAAGCTAGATACCGTACATAAATTGAACGTTATGAAGCAAATACTCTATAAATTGATAGACTAGTATCCTATCGCAATACCAAATAGTATAAGAAACGGTGGCACAATTTCATGGATTGATTAAAGTTAAACAATAACACTATTTGGTCTCGGCTCAATAGTCTAGAAGTTAAGTGTTCACATACAAGACCGACAATCCTAAGTTCGAATCCCATAGACGAAATCATGGATTCGCATTGCTGATGAGTCTCATACTAGGACGAGTTAGCCTTCGAATGCTTACACATTTTCCATGATGGTCTAACTTTAATCGACTTATGAGTTCAACTATTATACAAAATTATCATTGTATTCTCTTTTTGTTACAAAACTCATAATGATATTTGAGAATCTTTATGCAAATCATGAACAGTTGAAAAAGAAGATGATGAGAAAAGGACGCATGAAAAAAGACATATGAATGCATGAATTCTGATTAGAAATGAATTATTATGCAATGAATTCATATCATTGACCTAATGATCATCTTTGTTACGCTTGCTAGATGATGAATGAAAAATGATTGATTACGGTTTTATATATATCATATTTATTCAAATGTAATCACTTGAAACTATGGTAATATTTGATATTAAATAGCATAAAGTGTTATGTCGTTAAATTTAACATAGAGTTAGTTGTGTTTAGAGTTAGCCGTTTCTGTAAGAATATGCAATGTAATGATCATAAGAGTTTTAGTATAAGGTTGTAAGGATTATTAAATTTCATGAAGATCATGAACCAATCTGAGTTAGAAAACCACAGGAAACTTTAAAAGCAATAGATAACAGTTTCATCCTAGTATGGGACTATTCAGCAGTAGTGGCAATTGAGTCCGTAACCTTCAATCTCGTGTACGAACATGTAACCTCTAGACTACTGGATGGATATCTAATGGTGCACATGACTAAATTTGATTCCTGGTTGAGAGACGATCCTTTTTACCCTGATGGAAAAAACGTTCTCGTCGTATGAATTTTCATAAATTGATCTTCTTACACAGGAGATCCAATTATCCACTTTGAATACGCAGATGACGTTGGCCTGTTTGGTGAACACGCTGATAAACGCAGAGACTTTTGGTAGCATTGAGAAGCAATGCCACGATGTTTGGGATGCGTTTATCTCCCTCCAAGTGAAAATCGTTGCTTCAGGAATTGTCTGTGTTAACATTTGAAATAAAGATAAGGGGTGAAGTAGTCAATCGACAACTTCACTTATCTTTGAAATGGGATCAGCCCATATGGGTCTGACGTCTGAAGAAATCTCTGCACGGAGTAAAAATGTCGTTTGGCTTTTGCCAACTTACGTCACCTATGGCGAATGTGATATCCGTCTATCAATTAAGAGACGAGTATACTGAGCGGCAGTTTGTTCTGTTCTACTTTACGATTTTGAAACGTGGTCATTAAGAGTAGAAGATACACGTAAATTACTAATATTCGATCACAGATGTCTTAGAAATGTTGCCAATATCTGCTGGGATCACCAGTTAAGTAATAGTGAGGTTATATGCAGGATAATAGTGAATGATGGTAACTCAGTTGATGAGGTTGTAAATCTTGATCGAGTGAGATGTGTTGAGGCTAATTTCCTGTATATCTGACTCCAATAAATGATATCCCGTTAACTGAGTATTTAAGGTAGGCTAAATCTCCCAGGAGAATTATGGATTTACCCAAGATTAGTCAGAAGCCTGAACACACAGCAAGCAAACACACTGTGAAACCAAGAGAGTG